CGATAGAAATAATAATCCAACCGCCAGTGAGGCTTTTTGGGCTGACGCACTTTACACCAGTACAAATTGAAACTGTCCAGGAGATAATCACTAGTCTGAGTTCCTCCACATGCAGCCTGGATGTATTACCTCCTAGATTTCTCAAGTCAGTTCTGAGCAGTCTTTTACCTTCACTTACACAAATAGTTAATATGTCTCTTGAATCTGGAACATTCCCAATGGCCTTGAAAACGGCGGTCATCAGGCCCCTCCTAAAAAAGAGGAGTCTGGAAGCCCTGGCACTCAAAAATTATCGGCCCATTTCAAATCTGCCTTTCATGGGAAAAATTCTAGAAAAAGTTGCCTATAAACAACTTACAGAATTTTTAATAATCAATAACGCTTATGATATGTTCCAGTCAGGGTTTAGACCCCACCACAGCACTGAGACCGCGCTAATAAAGGTAACAAATGACATCAAACTAAACACTGACGCAGGAAAAGTCTCAGTCCTTTTTCTGTTAGATTTAAGTGCTGCTTTTGACACTATTGATCATGGCATCCTCATTCAGAGACTTGAGGACTGGGTTGGTGTTGCTGGCACCGCCCTAAGCTGGTTTAGGTCCTATTTACAAGACAGAAAGTTTTTTGTGGAGATCGAAAACTGTACCTCAGACCACTTGGCCCTGACCTGCGGAGTGCCACAGGGGTCAATCCTGGGTCCTCTTCTGTTTAATATTTACATGTTGCCTCTAGGTCAGTTGATTCACAGTAATAATGTCTCTTATCACAATTACGCTGACGATACTCAGGTCTATGTGTCCCTGACAGCAGGAGAGCATGAACCAGTGGACTCGCTCCTTCACTGTGTCCAGCAAATCGGTGATTGGATGCAAAATAACTTTCTCCAACTAAACACCGACAAAACTGAAATAATTGTTTTCGGACCCCAGAAACAAAGAGAGAGCGTTATTTGTCACCTCCAGGCTCTCTCTCTACAACCCTCAAATCAGGTCAGAAATCTAGGAGTGATAATGGACTCAGACTTAAATTTCAAAAGCCACATAAAATCTGTAACATCAGCAGCTTATTACCACCTAAAAAACATTGCTAAAATTAAAAACATAGTGTCTAAGGCAGACTTGGAGACTCTTATACACGCTTTTGTCTCCAGTAGGTTAGACTACTGCAATGGCTTGTTCACAGGTCTGTCCAAACAGGCTGTAAAACAGCTGCAGTACATTCAACATGCAGCAGCTCGAGTCCTGACCAGAACTAGGAAGTACGACCACATTAGTCCAGTTCTCAGGTCTCTGCACTGGCTTCCTGTTCCTCAGAGAATAGACTTCAAAGCAGCTTTACTTGTGTACAAGTCTCTCCATGGTCTCGCGCCAAGGTACATCCATGACATGTTTGTGCCATATGAACCGACCCGGACTCTGAGGAGCACAGGGACTGGACTCTTGTTAGTGCCCAGAGTCGGTACTAGACATGGGCAAACTGCCTTTCATATTCATGCGGCTAGAGTCTGGAACAGTCTTCCTGAGAATGTGAGACAGGCGTCTACTCTGGCATCTTTTAAATCTAGGCTCAAAACAATTCTGTTTAGCTGCGCATATACAACTGAATGATTTTATCTTTTCATCTTTGTTTTTATCTTTAATCTTTTTAATGCACTGTGACTATTTATGATTTTAGTCCCATCTGTGATTTTAATGTTTAAAGGTTTTTAATTTTTGTGATTTTATTTTTAATGTTTTTAATATATCTTGTGCTCTTAATGTGTTTGATTTATGCATGATGTGATAGGGGATGTGAAGCGCTTTGCGTTGCCTTGTGTAGGAAAGGCGCTCTACAAATAAACGTTGATTGATTGATTGATCATTAAAGCTGGGGTACCTAACTATAAATGTGCTATGTAATCCATCCATGTCACTACTTCCGCACATCCATGTCACCCTACATTCCTCTGTCACAGCATCAGATTATTTTTTTCAGACTGAAAAGTGAAAAAGAGAGGACCACACCCACTCAGCCAATCAGCTCTAAGCTCAAAGTGTCAGAAAGTGGCTCTCAGGGATGTGTTTGTAGCTGCTAATTCAAAATGAGCAAAAAATAATATATTATACTCCTCCCTCTGGTGGTAGCATAGGGAGTCACTTTACCCTTCATACTTGTTTCTCCATAAATTTTTGGCTAAGGATAAAATATGTCACATTCTAAAACATACAAATATGACAATGTAAATAGTCCCATTTCATTTTTAAAATCCAACAAATATCTTATAATTTTATTTCCTTAGTCTAGAGTTTGGAGATTTTCTCGAGTGGCTTTTCACACTGTTTTATTTTTACATGAGTAAAAAGTGAGTAAGCATTAAGAAAAGTCACTGTGTGGACTGGTGTCGCCTTTTCACCACGGGGAAGAGAGAAACGTGTAGTTTTATAACCTTTCCCTGACCCACATGGGAGCAGCAGGCTATAAAACAGTTTGGTTTTATTGTTGTCTAAATTATATTTGAGCACACCTCGGCAAAAACTAGGTCAAGGCAAGGCGGGTTGAATCCAGAGTTGTTTTTACACACCAGCCCGTGTCGCCCAGTGTTGGAGGAGAATTGAAGAGAAAGTCAGTTTAACAGTTAAATGCCATAGTGTATGCCTTTATTTAAACTCCTCAAATATTGTGAGAAAACATACTTCAGACGTATCTCTCAGTGCGTTTTATTTATAGCAGTCGAGTTAAGAATGTTGCGCATGTGCCATGGTATATGTCAGTATGGAGAGCATGCACCCGTGTGCAGACTGACTCTTATCTGTAAACTGGACGTCTGCAAAGAACAGTAAAAATATACAGAGATAATAGAAAGTAGTGCTCAATCCCACAACCTACGGTGATCATTAAAGCTGGGGTACCTAACCTAACATAAATGTGCTATGTAATCCATCCATGTCACCCTACATTCCTCTGTCACAGCTTCAGAGGAATGTAGGAGAAAAAGAGATGACCACACCCACTCAGCCAATCAGCTCTAAGCTCAAAGTGTCAGAAAGTGTCTCTCAGGGATGTTTCTCAAGTCCGCAAAAGATAACATGTTTTCAAACAGGATGGAGACAGTATGTTGTAGACTGATTGTAATCCCAACATTTTACTTTTACTAGACTCTATCTTGAGACAAACAACTCAGCATATTACAGCATATATGAAAAAGAAAGTAAGGTTGTCATATGCCCAAGAGGGAATATTTCTGAATGAACACAGACTAAATAATTCAAGCACTTTTCTGCTGCTCTAACCAGACCTGGTTTCACTTATTTGTGTGACTTCATGTTTCTCAGTCTACAGCTGTGTGTGATGCAGAGGTCAGAGGAGGGATGTCTTTGCCCAACTGTCCTTCTTTTGTTCTGCCCGAGTTGCTTTTCTCGTTTTTCGTACATAAACATATCATATTTCAGCATAGCTACGATGTTAGCATTCATGTCTCTGTATTCATGTACATTTTGTGAACAAACCACAAGATGCTGTCTTGATCTGATTAGAAAACATGTTATCTTCTGCACACTTGCATGAAAGAGCCCTGTGAGTCATTATTTGACGCTTTGGGCTGAGAGCTGGTTGGTTGATTGAGGGTGGTCGACTCTTATTAAATTTTCTGTCTAAAAAGAGGACGTGAAAGAGGCCAATAATACTAATATAAAAACGAATGATCAAACTAAACTGTTTTGAGAGCGAGGAACTTGTTACATGGATTTTATGTAATACTTTTAAGTAAGGTATCCCAGCTTTAATTCTGACTGTGTCTATGCACAAAATGGGAACTGGTTGAAACTCTTTCTGTAGCTCTTTATATTCGTCATATGTCTTTGTTTCTCCCCTGCCCTCCCTCACCCTCTCGCCTTTCATAAATGAAGCGTGCTAAAGTAGCGGAGGTGGAAGTCAGTGGAGCAGGTTGGACTTAATCGTGCCCAGATTTCGATCAAAGCTTTTGAGTTTCTGTTCAGTGAAAGCGGAGATGAGATATGACACTTTCATTTAGCGCACGTTAAACTCTCATTTCTCATGAGCTGAAACATCTTAAACGAGTTCATTTCATTTTCATCAGATTTAAAGCTGAGACGAATAAGAGGAGAGTGAGCGTTATTGACACACATTTGCAAATAATCTGATTATCGCACATATCTCCATCAGAAAAACACGTTTGTAAAAAGTTTTATGAATTACAAAATGATCATTTAAACATTACAGCTTTGATTTCAATATTGTTTCCTCGAATAATTGGTTCGTTTATATTTCTACTTAACAATACTTGTGAATATTGCACATCAAGCCACAGAACTGCACTCATCTGACTTTATTTTAATATGAATGTTGTCTTGTCTCCAATTACATATCATTTAACACCAACATGGAAACATTTCGGTGGTCAATTATATTGTTTGTGGGTGAAAGATTTTTCCACTTTTTGTCCCAAGCACGACCCGTTTTGCACTTTTCTTGTTCAAGTCTTACCCCGAGGTTTGGTCTTTGTAATGATCCGTGGAGATGTTGACTTTCACTGGAGTGAGACTGTTGGACTGTTGGAGATGTACTGATAGTGCAAGAGTGCTGTTGATTCTTGCAGTCAATGCAGCACTGTTGTTCCCCTCAGGGACAACATGGTTTATCTTATCTTATGTGACGAGAGTTGGTTAGCAGGGTTTGGTTAGCACTAAGATTGTCTGTAATATTTCAATTCAGAGATATGGCAGTGCCTTAATTGTTGATATTAGTATGGGCACAAAACTGACCCCTGAGGAACACCACCGGTAATTAGAACCATTAAATCTACGGTAACTTTAGCTGTGGCCCTTCTGTCTTTTTGGCTTCATGATATTGTTGTAGTAGTAGGATTTATTATTTCAAAAGCATTCAAAGCATTTACTAACACACCAACTGGTGGGACAAAAAATGCGTATTTGCCCAAACACCCCCTGACCCTACACCTGCTTGTAATAATAGATGTTGTGTTGTGTCTCCTCCTGTAGGACTCTCTGGACTCCTCCATCCAGTCCGCGCTCTCGTCTCTGTTTCCGCCGTTCGACCTGACGGCGCCAGTCGTCCTGAGTCAGTTGTTCAAAACCATTGAGGAGCGTTACCATGGAGACGCTCTTCACTGCCTGCTTGACTTCCTCATCCCGGCAAAGCATGTGCTGGAGAGCGTGCAGCAGGCCGCCTGCGTGAGTGTTTCTGAGACTTTAACTAAGTATCATTTATCCCACGCCAAAAAAATTATATTTCAATGTTTTATCTTATACTAGCTACTACTTATTTGTATATATTGTGTGTGCTCCCTGTGTGCTCTTACTACTGTCCTATATGTGCGCTGCAACAACAACATTTCCCCACTGTGGGACGAATAAAGGAATTCTTATCTCTACACATGTTCATGCTCAGGCCATAGACTGTATAAAAGGACATTGCTAAACTCTAAGCTCAATGAAGCCAATAGAGAAGTGAACTGATTCTGGCTCTTTCATAAATCCCAGGGTTCACTGCTACGTATGATACTGGTGTTTATATTTAGATATTGTGACCCTAACAACCAATCAGGTGCCTTCTGTCATAGCGAGTAGTGCAAATGCTAATCGGCCTCTTCTGTGATAAGGTAAACCATAGAGGTGACGTCAGCACTCGGTCAGTCCTCTCCCTCTACAGTCTTTGGCTCAGGCTCTCATGATAAAATGATAGTTATTAGCTTTACCATACTTGCTTGGGTATATTAAAGATGTGTATCCTCACTTGGTTTTATCAGTTTGTCCTGAAGCAGTAAAACCTTTAAACTCTGCGTCTCAGGCCGGGTTCTGTGACGTGGTGTTCCGCTGTGAGGGCTGGCCTCTGTGTCTCCACGATCAGACTGTTGTCCAACTGGCTCCAGTGAATCCTCTGCTGCTGCGGCCTGGAGACTTCTACCTGCAGGTGACCGGAACAGCACATTACACAGCATCTAGGTCCTCGGGAAAACCACATCACCCATGCTAACTGTGTGTTTAAGAAATTATGCAATTGGGGAAGCTAATTAGTGAATCTATCTCTTTGAGTGCCACTTAAATTTCTTCTATTTTTGAACACCACTTTTTCCTCATTGTAAGATAAGATAAGATACTTTATTGCTCTATGGAGAAAATGACATAGGTTGTAACAAACATGATTAGTTTATGTTTGTTACATCAAAAGAGTCTTGTAGACGTAACAGCTCAAATCAGCCCACAACATACATGTACTGTCTTAATGTTGTCTTTTGCCAGAGAGAGCCCTGCTAGTTACTATTTGATGCTTTGGGCGGAGAGCTGATTGGCTGAATGAGGGTGGTACTCTATTTTTTCACCTCTCTGTCTGAAAAAGCTGTTATGAAGATGTGACAGGCAGAGAATTAGTGATAGAACCAAACTATTTGATGAACAAGAAATTAGTTAGTTACATGGAACTGGTTTGTAATATTGTATCATTTATTACCTGAAGTCAAGTCAAGTCATCTGTCATTGTCATGTATTTAATACATCAGTTACCCCTGTTTTAAATGTTTTAAAGATGATACTATTTGGAGATTAGGCATCTTGAAAGTGGCAAAGTCCATGGAAAAGCACATTGATTGGCTTTGTAAATGGAAATTAAAAAGAACCCTCAGGCTAATTCATGTTTTTATTGTTCCAAAAGGTGGCACCGTTTGGAGACCAGGCCGCTCGCATCGTTCTGAAGAGCCTTCTGGAAGACGGGTGCAGAGAGGTGGAAGAAACCCCAATCCCTGAGACCTCCTACCCCATGATCTTCACCCTGGAGTGGCTACAAGAGCTGAACGAGGGCCGCCACGGAGCTCCCCTTTCGCGCTGCCTGCTTTGCACGGATCAGGGCGTCGTCAAACTTCCCTGGGACAAAATTGCGGTTCCTGAGTTCCTGGACAAACCAAAACCAGCTCCGACACCGCCTCCCGTTTGCCCGGATCCAGAACCCAAACGCTTTGCACAACATGCGAAATTTAGTTCGTCGACTTTGCCACTGGAAATGCACCACAACGCGAAATACAGGATGTCTGCCTCGCTCAGACACCCGCACTATTCATCGCGCGTCATCAAACCAGATAAGAAAGCGAAAGCGCAACCAAAGCCGGTCGGATGGGTGTCTCCGAACACGTGGGACAGACCGACAGAAAAAGGGATCGAAGGCGACTACGTGGACTTGGTTGAGATCGCGAAAGAGCGGGAACGCCTTGATAAGAAAGATAGAAAGGTGCATCCAGGGTTGATCAAAGCATTCCGACCTCCTCAGCCTAAACTCGGAACACAGTGTCTTACAGCGACACTGCAGTATTCCGAAAGCCCGTTCGCGCAGTGTGGAGTTTCTGATGAAGACCTCAAAAATAGGTACAGGGAGTCTTATGTGGCAGCGTTGACCAATCCAGTTGCATTAGAAAAAGGTAACCTGGACATGCTCTCGTCTTTGGATGAACTTAAATATTTGGACGAAATGGAAAAACTGTCCATTGCGAGGTCAGATTTTTCAGCAGGTCTCGGAACGTCTTTCGAGCTCAGCAAACCGGACGTTCGCAATCAAGAACTTTGCCAATTTAAGGCGTTTTGCGAACCTGCAACTGTGAAATACGCAAGCCATCTTAAAGACCTAAAGAAAGCCTCTGAAAACGTGGCCTCACTTTGCACAAATGACGCCGCAATGAAGGAGGATTTTGATCTGGATTCGAGCATGGCTTTACCGGATGTTCCTTCTGCTTCTGACGGTGAAATCCTGGGGACTTCCGAAATGAGGTCGGTGTCCGTGGTGTCGGAGAACGATATAGGAACTCTGCCTGTCCACAACAGAAGTGGCAGCGACATTGGCCTTGAAGTCACAGAAGAGGTTAAAAGTTTTGGACAGAAGGAGACAGAAGCGTGGGAGGAGACGAAACCCGGACCAGGGACAGAGGAGCCGAGGAATTCCCCCGAAACTGGTGAGTTCAAGGCTGTGGAACTAATGTGTGCAAGAATCATTAATCAGATAAGACTGTCTGGAGAGAACGAGCCAGCAAAGAAACAACAATGTCTTATCGTGCTCTGGGCTATTTCTGTTTCTGCAACTATCCTGTTTTGTAGCTGCACAATATTGGGTAAATATCTAATTGTGATTTTTCAGACACTGCAAAAAGTGACACAGGGTTGCACACTTCTTGAATTAGGGGAAAAAAAATCTTAACTTTAGTATATTTTTACTTTGCTACAGTAGTTTGCATATTCTCCCTGCGCCTTTTTTTAGGTTTTCACTACCACTAAAAACATGTACAATAGACTCCAGATTCAGATTCATATTCAGATTCATATATTTGCCATTTGCAGTAAAACCACATTGGAAAAACTGTGCAAGACTACCCTAGTGTGCACCAGACAGAGAAGACGGCACACACCAGAGCTCTTGCCACGGCGCCATGCGTAAAGTTGAGGAGTACGCTTTTCTCTATCCTGGTTTTTATAAAAGTCAATAAACATCACATATTCTCATGGCCAGGCATGCATCAAACAGGCATCAGGGACGTTTTATCTTCTTTATATTCTACAGAAATTATGCTACAAAAGAAACGACATATAACTATATATAAAAACAATGGCATTACAGGGATAAAACCGACTCTGGCTCTTCTCAGGACCTCATTACATTCCTCCTGAAGTCATGTGCTCAGACTGTTTATTTTAAATGTTGTCAAACTTCTATTGTACTCTTACACGGTAAATAGTTACTGCCTGATTGGATTTCAGGGGCAATTATTGTGCATTAAGAAACATTGTTTTGTTTTTTTCATTTGCATTTTAAAACCACATTTGAATGATGAAGTCAAAATCATCTCGTTTTGTTTAACACAAAAAAATACACAATTTGATACAAACTAAATCTAATCAATATGATGTGGCTCAGTAATATACAAAGGCTTCTGACCCCTCATCAAGTTGAACAAAAAGGCAAATATTATAAAAATAAAAAAACACTTTAAAATTCTCTAAATCAAAAAAGTATATTGTATTTAATTTGAAGAATATAGTTATTGTAGTTATAGTTATAGTTTATATACTTGTTGTTGTATATATAATAATTGTTTTTAAATTATTTTCAGCACACCCGTATACACTACACAATGTAACTGAATGTCTAATCCAGTGGTGGCTTCCTCTGTATTATTCCCTTTCCTGTTGTGCCCATGTGCCCGACTGTGACTGTAGAACATTACTGCTAAGACAATCATATTTTCATGAGATTACCAGGGTCAGCTATAACGAGGTATCAAACCCACAACAAAGGAGCTTTTTACAATAACTGACGAAACACAACTGTCACTGTATCTTTAAGCCCCACATTCTAACCCCTTCACTCACTCATCTCAATATGCGCGTCCTAAATAGTACTTTGTACCAACACTAGCATTTAGTCCAATCCCTAAATCCTTCTCTCTCAGCACGTGCGATCTCTTTAGCGCGTACACGGCCCGATACTTTGTCTTTGAACTGAACTGTGTAAAGTGGTTCTTCTGATCTGCGCTAACTCCAGACGTTTCATCTCTGCTCTGGTGAAATGGTGCGTGACATGCTCCACTTGGGACCCCCTCCTCTCCTCACCCGCATCCCCCAAAGCTGCTCTCATTTACAGGGGTCAGAGGAGCACGATCCAGGGCCACGGCCAAACACACTCCAGCCTCTATGTCTATTAGGATGTCTAATTACGGCTTACTAGTACAGAGTATGGGTCGTAATTGGAATCATTGTTGAAGTCAAGTGAAGCTGTAGAGGACTAATAATCTCACATGTTTTGGTGTTTTTGTTTGAAATCCTCTTAATAATTGAAGATTCTGTTATTAAATATTATGTGTTATGTGTGACTTGCCAATAATACATGCATGTGAAAACTATAGAACCAAACACTTTTGAGAACAATAAGAACTAATTAGATTTTATTGCACACTTCAATTTGTTGTGGTATTAAAGTTAGGTATGTCTGATACCTATGGATCATTGTTATAAGTTTCAATATCTCAATCTTCTAAGTAAAAACTGCTCACATCTGCTTACAGTACATAGACCACTGCTGAAGAGGTAATGTTTTCAACTGGATTTGTTTGTTAGTCTCTCATACCTCAAACCATTATGGACAGATTTTTGCTCCATTTCCAGTTTTTTTTTTTTTTTGCAGGAGATCACCGTCTGGATCTAGGAATTTCTTTTAGGGACAGAACTGCATGTTTTGGCGGAGGTCTGGGCTCATAACATAGTTCCCCAAACCTCTTCAGCCTTGCAAACCTTTCTCATTGACAACAATCACACCACCAGCTGAAACTAATACAGAATAAAACTCTGCAGTCTTTGCTCAAGGCACACTAAGGATTGGCTTATTACATAGTATAGTTTCTACACACAGACCAAATTTAAAGTTCAAAATCATAAAATGGAAAAGTAAAGGTTCAAGGTCGTGACTCAGGACCAAAATGAAGGCACATGTTGATCTGCAGCCGGTGCATAGAAGCTCATCTCAGAACACGATAAGTCCATAATGGGACATTCGAGCCTCATTTGAAGTTTATCTATAGATCTTCTGGACGTCGGACCATACTGCCTGACAGCTGTGGGGTCTCGTATGCACAGAAACCCCCTCTACGCCCCCCTCTCTCTGGGCATAAAGCTCTCCTCTTGTGAAGGCCGTTTCCTGCTCCTCCGGCTCTATCCAGATCCGATGAGGTTCACGAGGCCACGGTCGCAGTCGCTGGCCCCAGAGCTGCTTCATACTTGACCTTTGAATTAACGTTAGCTGCGACACGAGAGGCGAGGCTCACGTTTCACCACAGATCACAGACAAAAGCTTGATTACTGTAACGGCTTTAATGGCGCAATAAACAGGGATCACACTTGGAGGTGGAATAAATCAAATTCATGATACTACATCTTCAGGCTATAGCTTTGTTTGAACCTGCCGTGACTGATAGAATAAAAACTGTTCAAAAACACCCAAGAAAACACAAGTCCATCCGTGGTGAATGGCCGTATTGTTCTCACCATTTGCCTTAAAAGTACAATTTGAACTTTTAAGGCAAGTTAAAATTGTACTAGGCAATACAATCTATCTAGAAAAAAGGCAGATCACGTTAGACCTCTGAAGCTGAGCAGGACAGGGCCTAGTTACTACTGTGATGGGAGACCTATGGGAAACACCAGGTGCCACAGTGGGGCGGCTGTAAAGTGCCAAACTGTTGTAGTGTCCTTAGGCAAGACACTTCACCCACATTGCCTAGAATGAGTCTGGTGTGTGTGAATAGAACATACTGGTTGTCTCGCTTCTGTCAGTGTGCCACAGGGCAGTTGTGGCTACAGTAGTAGTTTATCATTACTGTGTATGAAGTGAATGCATAATGACTTGACTTGTGAATCATCTTTGACATAAAAATTTGCATTATTATTATCTTACTTATTATTTCTCGCTCTGAACTCATTGACTGCCAGCCGTTTTTGATGATTTCACTGATTGTCAAGGCCCACAGAATATTATGGGCTATGACTATGTGGAAGTTTGAAAGATTGGATTGTCTACTTTCATCAGCAAAATAAGTTGGTTTCTAGCTATTTTTTTTTCTCCCTTAATCCCCAGTCGAATAGAGGGAAGTTTCTCAGGAGATATCGTCAATGGCAGTCAATGAGTTAAAACAGTATAGTTTAATCACTATTTTTCACATGCCTGTTTTAGCTTTAGCCAGAGTTTTGTTTGGCTGAATGTTAATACTTTATTTACAAGCCGCACACTTTTGCTCCTCTCCTGTTTCACATTGATTCTTTCCTCTCTTTCAGAGTTGGTCCCCAGTGCCCCGGAACCTCCTGAAGCTGTGTGCACTCAGCCCTCTGCTCCACCACAAGAGGGCGCTGTCACCTCTGCCCCTGCACTGCTCGAGCTGGGCCTCATCTGTCTCACAGGTAAAGAAGACGTTTTCAGATTCAGGCTCCAGCTCTGTCAGGAATTTATTAAACTGGAGCTCTCGGTTGATTACTATCATTATTATTTATTTACTATTGTATGATTAATACATTTAGTTTTCTTTAAAGTATACATAATATTTGTTTCAGTGTTTTTTACTGCATATTGTAAAGGTGATTTAACACTATAACAGTGATTACGTATTGTTGTGGCTGCCATCACCAGGTTAAATGCTACGGCTACCTGTGTCTTTTTGGTAGCCCCAGGGTTTGGGGGTAGCCACAGGGTTTACAAGGCGCTGGATCAGGGAAAGGAGAGGGGAGGTGGTGGGTTGAAAGCGCTTGATGAAACAGTGGTTAGTTGCCGCTTTTAAACAGCCCGCTTGATCAAAGCAGACTGTCTTCCAGTCTGAATTTCCACTTTAGCTGCATGTTTAGGGCGAGGAAAAGTTTTATTTGGTCATGGTTTGGGTTGGGTATGTTTGCTTTTTTGAGTACCACCAAAAAAAAGATACCTCAACCAGTATAAGAACTTGTTCCTTCTGATATCTGTGAACCTCCTGAATGCAACCTGTGAGACCAAGAGAAAATTCACATCTATATATGACTTTAAAACTGTACAACAGATATGTACAGATGAACATGTGCACTATTCATTGTTATTTAGTTAACAAACAATACTTATGTTAGGCTATTTATGTACTTATGTGTTTGTATGGATGTGTTTCTGCTGATGAATTTCTCTTACGAGGATCAACAAAGTATCTATTTATCTATTTCCTCTGGGACATAATAAATTAATCTTGAATTTTGAATCTTACGATGAGGTAAGGTTTAGGTTAGCTCTATGCAGGACTAATTACCAATATTAAAATGAGTCCCTAATGATCGAGAATTTGAAGAATTCTAGAATGGTGATTAGATTACTGAGCATATCGCCCCCTACAGGTGGCAGGGACAGAGCGGGCCGTGCAGTGGTGGAGGTCCATGGAGACAGAGGAGAGTGGAGTCTTCCTCTGGTTTCTGCAGACACCATCTGTGACCTCCTGCTCTACCTGCACTCCTTACCCAGGTACACACAACACACATCACTCAAGTGTTTATTAAAAGAGTCTGAGGAGGCTGACATTTTTTACTTTTTAAAAACTTGCACAATCAGTTTAGAGTCAAACCAATGAGACCAAATATCAAGGTAATTTAGACCAAAATTTGACAGTATAACAAGAAGCTCTTACCGTCAAAGTTTGAACTGTTGCTGTTCTTTTATTTTTTATAAAGTTGCCCTTGTAAAAAATATGTTTAACATTTTTTATATTGCTTCATATGGATGATAAACTTGCCGATGTTCGTTATAATGTGATTGACCCTAAATCACAACATCATTAGAGAAACAAATCAGAGATAAAAACCACATAAAGCCATTGGTTCATTATGGGCAGATGACCAATGTCATTAAATGTTGTTGATTGTTGAGAGTCCTGGATCATCACCACTGTCCTTAGGAAAAACTCTAACTCATTCCCACCCTACTTTAATCCAAGTCATATTGAACTGTATAATAAATATTGAGTCATATTTAATATTGTGTAAAAAAATATTGCGGTAAATCTATCAATCCCACAATTCCCACACTTTCATAAACAGTTAAGTCGATGTTTCCTGAAAGGCCGTTTGAATCAAGGACATTACTCAAGGCCACAAACACACAGCAGCTGTAGGAGCATTAGGTCCCTGTTGTGATCTTCCTCCAGAGCGTTTCCACAGCAAACACTCGGGCTCCGTTTGTTTACACTGGTTTTCGAGGAGAGTTAAGAGGCAACAGCAGGAGCCCAGCCCACTCCGTGCTGTCCCAAAGGACCAATGCACGATCCTGGGGTAAGGTCCACACCAGCTGCCCACCTCTGGTATGCAGACTGACGGATCGAATGAGCAGCAAATGTGACGTAGAGAGAAAATAAGTCATTATGATTTCAAATACTAAGAGGATGGTATGTTCCGTAAGCAGGTTTTGTGGCCACATTGGCAGATCGCAAAGACTTTTGCACTTTTTTCCATTATGAAATTAATATCTTAAAGTTCTTTACAAATATAAAAGTATAAGCAAATAAATCACTTGAATTTCTGAAAATGTCTCTTTTTCATTATTTATAAAAACTGCCAAAATATCCATTCCAATCCATTTTATGTGAATAGTACATTTAATAGTTTCTGAAGTGCTGCACATAGATCCCCTAATAATAATGTACCTTTGTATAAATATGTTGTGAGAAAACATAAAAACAAGTCTTTTCGAAAAAGACCAAAACGTGTGCAGTCAAGTCCCACAGGAAAAATGTCTGTGTGTTTCTACGTTTGATCAGTTCTCAGCTCTCGAGTCCGGAGTGTGAAGTGTGAGCGGAGGTGACAGTGTGTTGAAAAGTGGGAATAACCCGAGCTGCGGAGGTGGAAGCAGATATTTGGCGCCTGGATATTTTAGGACTCTGCACTTAATAAATCACAATGTCAACTTTTCTCAATCACAATTATCAACTTTGAAATAGTCACGGATCATGCGACTGAAGAGGAGACTTGTTCTGTCTCCTAAACTCAGAGAGAACTGAGCCACAACGTTTGGCTGTTTACTTTTGTCTCAAATATGATATAACTTTTTTTTATATATAATGAAAACGCCCTGTTTTGAACACCATACTTTTCTACTTTCTACGCATATATATATATATATCCGTATATCCCGGAACATATTTTCCTATGGGACAATAAAATATAACTTAACTTAGCTTTCTGTTTATTATTCATTTTAGCTCCGTCTTTCCCACAAATGTCTCCTTAGATTTTTCTTCCATAACTTGCTTCTATGGATTTCTGCTATTGATTCAAATTGTCCATCGTCTCTTATTAAGTTACAGAGCGCCTTCACCTTTGGTCAATTTCACAACACATTTCTCAAAAAAACGCTGGCACCTGATGAGTTTATTGCCCTCAATCTATCTTCAGGGATCCACATTTGGTCACTTTCACATCACATTTCTTCGGCCAAGAAAATTAATACAAACTATATATTTCATTCAATGTTTCAGGAGGGAAGTGTCAGACCTGGGTTTGACTGTGGTCATAAACTCCAGGAAGAAACCGCCTCCTCCTCAGTTCTTCCAGGCTTTGCTCATGGCGCAGGTAAAACACACCTTTTACTTACATAGGAAAACTAGTGAAAGAACCAAATGGTTTCTAGAGTGAGGAACTAGTTAGAATTATCATATTTACTTAATTTTTTTTAGATTACCCGTACTTTAAGATGCTTCAGTACTGATCGTGTCCACAAGAGGGAGACCTTACTCCAGTGTCCAGATGTTGCTCAGCATAATTTTTTTTATAAGAATACTGATAATTTGTTGTAATGATTATTGATCTGTGTTTATTAAAATCTGTATGTATTAAATTGTGTATAATTTTTCTTCTTCACTCTATTTTCTTTGTCTCTCAGGAGCAGACGCTGCACACCGTCCACTGCATCGTCCTGTTTGTGGAGAAAGACTCGAGTCCTCGCCACGAGAAGCTCTCCGGTCTGCAGGTATCACTCGCAAACACACACACAGACACACACACACACATACACAGATACACACAGACACACACACAGACAGACAGACAAACACACACTCACACAGACAGATTGGCGCACACACACATACAGACAGAAAGACAAACTGGAGCACACACACTCAGAGACACTCATACACAGAAAGAGAAACTGACGCACACACACACACACACACAGACAGACAGACAAACTGGAGCACACAAACACACACGCACACACACAAACTTACACGCACACACACACAAACTGGTATACACAATATTTTTCACAATTTATTCATTGTTTTTAGATTCTCAAACAATTACCGTAATACTCAAATATATAGCCTTGTTACTTTGTTTTAAGCTAATTTGAAGTTTGTGAGAAGTATCACTGCTGATTGGACGAGGCCTTGGATACTTTTCGTGTTGTATGTTTGACCCGTGTCCTCTTCCTCAGATGGACCTGGTGTCGTCTCTGAAGTCACTAAACAAAACGGTGGAGAGCAGTGAGCTGAGTGTGGAGCTTGGAGGAACGTGTGTGTACAGCCACCAGCACTGGCTCCATCTGCACCAGGTGTGTGTCCCAGTCACATAACACACACACACACACGCACGCACGCACGCACGCACGCACGCACGCACGCACGCACACACACAAACACACACGTGCACACCAAGACAGTGGAACAGTGCCACATGCCACTTGCTAAAATGGTTTCTAAGGCAAGCTAGAGTTTCTCCCACAAATGAAGGCATCTGATTGTTCCTTGTATGGCTCATATCTGGATTTACGAAGACAATATCAAAGAAATAAACTCCAGGATCACAGAATACTGAGTGTGACACAAACAGTTGCCGAGCTGGAGGAGTTTACTTTTCAATGTAAGTCAATGGGTGCCTGAGCGAGTTGATGCAATACTTTGTCCATGAGCATTTCCCTAAGACGCATTTCTTAAGTCAGGGGCAATGTCTTTCAAGAAAATGTGACTTCTTTCCTAAAGACTTTTTTGCAGAATGTTTTTTTTTCAAGGTTTTAAAAGTAACAGCAGACACAATCCTGTGTCCCACTTTTGGGTCCCAATCCACCAGTTACAAACCACTGCACAAGGGGACCAGACGTGAAGAACTAAGTTATTATCTGACCTTATTTATTATCACTCCTCCACTACCCGACCATGTCCCAGTTTCTATGTTTTAAACTAACTAATTAACTGGTTTGCCAGAGGTAAACTACTCTATAATCTGCTGAATTCCTTATGTCAACAAACAGAACAATACATTTGAACTATTCTATTAAAGCTGCACTAACTGACTTTGGGATTTTGAAGCCGCGGACCCGCTGGCCTCGCTCTTTCTGCTCCCCTCCCCGCACCCACGAAGCTATCGCCCCCCACACACACCCACTGTTGTTGACGGAGCTAGAGTCTCCCAATATGGATAATACATGGATATGGATTTGCACGTGAATGGCGTGACCGTAGAATGATAACCGGTGACGGAGACACGGAAGCTTCAGGTTAGCTCTGCCGCTTGTTGTGCTAACTCAGCTGCCTGTGCTAACAGACCTGTAGATTTCTCACGAAAGTGAGGGCTAGTGGTCCACTGTGATTGGTCACAATCTGCGACCCGAAACACATCTCTTCCTTGTTTCATCAAAACTCGATCTAAAATATGTCACTCCAGCACAAACCTGCGCTACTTTTTCTTCAAAAGGACGTATATTCCAATGCTCTGCATGGACATGGATAGCATTTTTGTAATGAATACATAAATAAAGTCAGTTAGTGCAGCTTTAACTTTGTAAATATTGAACCAAAACACAGTCGGACTAATCTGGAATCAAACAAGAGCTATTTGGAACCAGGTTAGTTTGAACAGGCGCGATGGATATTTTAAATACATTGAAATGGTTTAAAATGTGTAGAGATAATACTTTCATAGCAGCACAAGTGGCCAACATTGAGTACAAAAGTGAATAACTAAATGTTGAATGACGAGAGCTAAAATCAATCAAAGTTAAACTAATATATTTGGAACAGTAGTAGTTCTGTGGTTCTAAACGCAAGGGGCAGGGTTGGAAGACTATTTCAAGTTATAATTATAATTATCTTGTAATTCTGTGTTTTTTTCCCAGAGAATGGTTTCGTTCATGTCAGATCTGAAAGAAGCAGACGATTTGCTGCAAAGAGCGATTCAGACAGTAGAGGGTGCTAGAAGGCTGGACACAGCTCAGGTAAATACAGGTTCTGCCGTCACCATAGTGATAGATGAAAGCAGAAGAAGCTAATTCAAGCATAAGCGAGCTGGAGCCAATTACCTTATATGAACATCTGTTCCAATCGGGTTAGCTTTGTGCCGTAACAGGGGCAAATGTTTTACTAAGGTTGGTTGCTAAGGCGTCTGATTGGTCAAACATTATGGCTCATAGCTGGATTTGCAAAGATATAAACAGCAGGATCACAGAGAGCATTAAACCATTGATTACTTAGCCCAAAATTGTGATTGAATTCTGCTACTGTTCAGACTCAAAAGCCCATGCCGTGCCTTTTGTCTCCAGGAGGTGGCGCTATGTGTGCAGGAACAGCGTGCTTTGATGCTGGATGTGCTCAGGGACCCAGGGCTCATGTCTCTGCAGAGAGAGGGAGGATCTGTCCTGGCTCGAATCCGTAAAGACCAGCCCCGCTTCAAGCACTCACATGACTACAGGTGAAACACACTAACATTCACACACACACTCTGGCCTTATATGGTCATACTCGCTTCAATGTTCACACTAGTTAAAATAAAGTTGGAAAGTGTGCACACCCAGACTGAAGTCCTCTTGTGTTGTTGATAGTTTGGAGACTGTGAATGATAACACAAACCTTTTTCCCACTCATCCTTAGTGGCTGTGTGAAGCCCTGTAATTTAAACCCGTTGTCTATTTTCAACATACAACATCTTTGTATACGACATAAAAGATGTGTTTGAATTAAAGATAAAAACATAATTGAGCTGTTCAGTTCATGCAAGGCGGCCCAGGAATCTACTTGAACTTAAGGGTTTTTGCCAAGAAGAATGGGCAGCTTTACCATCAGAGCGGAGACAGAACCTCTTCCACAACAACCAAAAAGACTCCAAGCTGTTATTGATATTAAAGGCGAAATACAAGCTTTTGAGATCTGGGGGATGGAGGTCAGGGGTCCGTGTCAAATCAGGGTCAGGGTCAAATCTCAGAATCTGGACATTTCTTCCTGGGTGTGTGGAAACTAATAGAGCTGATTCTTCCCCAGCATTGGGTGAAATACGAGTGTGGTTCTACGTATGGTGTGTTTTGATCAGAGACTGGCTGGAGACGTCTACGCGGCTCTACAACTCTGTGGAGGAGAAGCTCCACTCTCTGGTGATGAAGTCCAACCGCAGTCTGCAACATCTGGACTCACTGCTGCAGCTGCGACAGGCCGACAACTGCGTGTCTGAGGTAGGGCTCCCACTTTAAAATACGTATCTCTAAAAGAGAAATACTGTTGTTGATAATGATATTATCTATTGTGGAATTTCATATTTTGCTATGTAAAATCATGAAGTAAAGTAATAAGTATTTCAGCATGTAATTCCCACCAAAGCCGTATATAGATGGACAATGGTGACCCGCGACGTCTATGAAGCCTAATATTTGTGTCACACTTAAACATGTGATCCTGGTGTTTATACAGTATATTGTAAATTGCAAATTCAGATTTGTCCCTTAAAGCAAGGTGGCTTCTATTGCGGCTTTATCTAGTGAGTAGCTCAAGCGTGAACAAACCATTGCCGCACCTGATTGGCTCTTGGTTTCTAGGCCATTACTATCCACAATATTGGCTCTAGATTCCCGCCCCAAGAGCGATTTGAGTTGGCTCTAATCTGCTAAAAAGGCAAACACTGTGACGTCAGCACAAAGTTGGTCCACTCTTTCTACAATGTATGCACCAGAGAAAGGAGTTGAATTTATTTTATTCAACATCAAATACTATGTGCTGCATCTTGGCGGAACGGGGAGAAGATACTAACAAGGATGGAGCTTTAACAGCTATAGATTTTAACATGGTGCTCAAAAAAGACAACGAAATAGCAGGTGTCAGGCATTCAGAGTTCATCCATTGTTGTCTGACACTTTGTAACCTCTTTGTTGCCTTCTGTTTGTTTGTTTGTTTGCAGATTGGCGGTTGGCTGAGTTCGGAGGCAGAGGACGTCCTAAAAGAGTCGTGGCCTTTAGAAGAAACACTGTCTGCAGCTGAAGAAGCACTACAGCACTTTACTGACTTCATTCACCAGGCCAGAGTATGTGTGCTACTGCTTCTACTGCTACTACTACTTCTACTGCTGCTACTACTACAACTGCTACTGCCACTACTGCTACCGCTACTACTGCTACTACCACTACTACTAATGCTACTGCTGCTACTACTATTACTTCATCTACAACTACTACTACTACTCTTACTAGCAGCTTTGTTTTTACCACAATGTCATACTGTACGTCTCAAAGAGTGTTTATGATCATTATAAACAAGACAAAGTGGCTGTGCTGGTGGTTGAATGAGAGATAGCAAACCATAATGATATCACATACCACACTTATTTACAGAAAAAATATTTACGTGGTTCTGTTGCCGTGGTGTCAGCTCTGTGCTTGTGTCTCCGTAAACAAAGATTGTGTGATTTTTTACATGTGGCACATTCCTCTCTGCAGCAGAAGCAAGATGAGTCTTCCAAACTGATGAAGAGCGCAGTGAAAGTCCTCCAAAGCACAGCGGAACCCAGTCCTGCCACAGAAGTACTGCAAACGCTGGTCAGTACTTTCCAGTCCAACATGGCCGACTTCATGGTGCGAGCGGAGAGGCGCCACAGAGACCTACAGACCCTCGTGCAGGTTTACTCCTTCTGTGAACAGGTCATTGCACTGATAAAACTCATTAAAACCAATTGTATGTGTTATTTGTGTTCGTTTCGACCGTTAGACTTTATATACGTAGATCAGGGGTCTCCAGCTCGCCACTCCCTTCCAGGTAGCTCGCCAAAGGATTTAGAAATGATAAAAATTATCAAATAGTATACTTAATATTTCAGATTATCTTATTCATTCTTATTATTTATTATTGTAAATGCACTTACTTTGTCACTAATAACAAAAATCTGATGATAAATAATCACTGTTCCCAATATCAGACTCGTTCACACCAATATATTGCCACTTTTTTTCCTAGGGCCGCTTAAAGTAGTAGCTCTCTGGGTGAAAAAGGTTGGAGAAACCTGACTTAGATGGACAATGCTATGTCCTCCAACTCGCTCTGGCTCCTATTGACTTACATTGAAAAGTAAACTCCTCAGTAACCATTTGTGTTACACTCACCATTCTGGGCTTAAAAATCCATGGTTTTGCACTCCTTCTGCTCCTGGTGTTTGTATTTTGATAGTGTCTTTGAAATCCAGATATGAGCCGTAAGGATTGACCAATCAGGTGCGTTTATTCGCGGGGGAAACTCCTGCTTGCACCTATTAGGGCACAAAACTAACCTCGAAGGAACAAATCCCCATATTAGGATTTTTGTTCCAGCAAGCTTATATTCAAATCAGCTTCTTCTAAATTCACCAAGCACAATAATGACGTCAGTCCACTCTTCATAGACAGTTACAGTAATTTTGATGGTTTCAAAGTTAGTCTAAGTCTTTCAAAGTGGTTTCAAAGTCTAGCTCTAAGAAAGGATTTCACATTTCAAGACAGGAAATTCTATTGTAAATACTCTCAAAGTTTTGTTTTGAAGCCAAAATGAACACAAATAATGCATCATATGTGTTCTTTAGTAAGTTAAGTGTATGTTTTTACAGTGATACTAGTGCACAAGTCAAATATAATCATGTTTTTATCTCCAGGCTTCTTCTTTTGCCGATAGCTGCAGCTGTGTCCTGTCGCAGCTGGACCCCACCTGCCCCTCGTCACAACTGCACATGTACCAGGCCAAACTAGGCACCGAATTCTGCACCTCACGCTTCCAATCCATCAAATCTCTCATTCCTTCCCTGACACCGGGAGCAGCCCGCGTCTGGAACGCTGCCTGGGAACGCCGCCAAAGACTGCAACAATTCCTTGATGAATTACGAAAGCAGTGCACTGATAGCAGTGCAGAGAATGAGGGGAGCGGGCAAAGCAGTCAAGAAATCAAGTCTTGTAAGGAGTTGGACTGTAAATCAGAGCTTCTATGTCAAAAAGATGACATTAAAATGATTGAAAATGTTGCACAGAAGCCAAGAGAGCATTGCAGCGAAGCAGATTTGACCAGTTACAATAAGGAACTCCCCTTTCATAAGAATTTAGGCCGATCTCTAAGCGAAGGCTCCAAGTTTAAGGCCAAGTTTTCGCTCTTGTCTGAGTTTTCACGTCAAAAAGCGCCCAGGGAGGAGAGCCAGAAGTCGGGGAGGAAACTGTCCCTGCCCTGTCATGGGACGGATGATTCTGGACGTGTTGGTGGTGGGGAAGGAGGAGGTCCCAGGGGTCCAGAGAGGCACCCACTGCTGAAGAATGGAAGCAATGTGCAGTAAGTGATGAAGTCATGTGTGAAAGTCTATCTTCTATGGATTGTGTTACAGAATGTGAACACTTTCTATCGTTTGGTGTAGATGTGATGTAATGTAATGTGAGAAGCCGCCCACTCTTTCAGTCAGTCCCTTTATGTACAGGCGGTTGTGCAGTGATTACGTTTGACTGCAGCTGGAGTGTCCTGAGATTTTCAAATCCACAAAGATCTGATCTCACAAAAGGAGTTGACCTTAACAGCTGTAACAAGGAACGAGAAAGAACTGGGGGAGATTGTGGCAATGGTGGTTGCCCTGCATCTTGTGTTCATGAAGAGAATTATTTGGCTTACTTTACTTCTTTTGCTACAAACCAGAGGAACCAGGGTCGTATAAACAGATAACTATACTAGCCAGGGGATCGTTTAAGCGGTAAAAGGAGGTATAGTGATGAGTTAGCCTTTGATTGGCTTCTGTTATATGCTCATAAAGTGTTCTATTATTATTTTGTTAGCGCTGCAGTACCTAACTTTCAAACAAAATGCTTGTATTATTTGGCATCTGTTACAAGTTTGGGGCAGCTTTTTCACACAGAAAAGTGAAAAAGATAATACCCCAGATTAAAGGCATGCGTTTAGTTATTATAACAGATGTTCAGCAGATTAGTTGTTTTTTGTTTCTCTAAATGTTTTGGGGAGCTACTTGCAAGGGGCTATAGGTTGGAGACACTTGATCTAGAATAATAAAATTTAAAATTTAGTTTTATATTGTCCTCATACATGGTCCTCACTGACTTGTGTTTGTGTCCCAGGCGTCTGGGCTGCATCTTGGCGGAGCTCTTGAGCACGGAGCGGGAGTATGTGCGTGCGCTCGGCCTGGTCATAGAGCAATACTGTCCAGAGCTGGACCGGTCCGACGTCCCACAGGGGCTCAGGGGCCAGAAGGGGGCGCTGTTCTCAAACCTGGAGAAAATACACGACTTCCACAAGCACCTCTTTCTCCCAGAGCTGGAGAGATGTGTGGACGAGCCGAGCAGAGTGGGCCGCTGCTTCCTCACACATGTACGTCTGATGTCACATCTACTACTACTACTACTACTACTGCTGTTATATCAATCAATCAATCAATACATTTTTATTTGTAGCGTACTCAAGGCAACACAAAGGACCTATCACTGTCACTACTGTCACATTACTATTGCAATTACCGCTACTACTACTACTACTAGTACTGCTATTATTTCTACTGTTAGTACTACTGCTACGTATATTACTATTACACTCTCACACATGAATGCAAGGATCTGGTGAAATCTATGTGGTTATTGTGTGTTTGACTGATCAGCACATTACAGCAATACATGTTTTCATTCTGTTCACTAATGTAAGGTTATACAGTAATCTTGCACATTTTACATTAGTGTTGTCCATGATTTTCTGCAGTCATTAAACTGTAGCTTTCTGCCGTTTCTGTTTCTTAAATAAGTAGCTCTCTAATCAAAATATGTTGGAGACCCCAGACATACAGCATATGTAACGTTTTGAGGTGATAAATAAGTGTTTTTAGACTATACTGCCATTACTGCTGCTGTTATAACGAGAGTCTAGTTGTGTCTTACTATGTTAGGCCAAACCAAATAAATATAAAATAGGACATTTAATGACTGAACAGTTCAAGATACATACAATAGAAAAAAAGAACCATACACATACACACAAGGACACAAGGTGGAGAGTGAGAGACTCGGGCCCTCAGCAGCAAGCCCTCTGATCATTTGTCAAAGAGAGATCAGCCGTGATGTCACAAACATGTCAAGAGGGCTCAGCCAGGAGAAAACTCAATTAAACAGCTGCTATTGACTACTGCTGTCACTACTGCTTCTATATAATACTGCCATTACATTCTTCCCCACTCAATTATGTAAACAATAATTAAGAGAAAATCCAGTTATTCCCTTTCCTGCACAGAGTTTTGGGTACATCTGCTCCAATGCAAAGCCTATTAAAGTTCTAAAACATCAAGAATGTGTTTGGCCAAAGCTGTTGGAGCCGTCATATCATTATTAAATGAGTTCTATTTCTGTTGCAGTTTATCTGCTTCTGTCAACATGCCCTCTCTTTCATCCATGTTTAAACCACCAAGGATGTTTCTTATCACCCGCTCCTCCGCTCGACATTTTTATGGAACACTCAGACCAGACCATTGTGGCCAAAGATAAGTCATTTCTAGAGAAGTTAGGGTGGATTTCACGCAAAGTCTAGGATTTATCTAACTCTTACTGAAAGATTGAACCGAAAACTGAATGCAGATGTGGGATAGAACAATATGTGCACTTACTGTAAACATATGGCTTCAATGCGGAGGGTTATACAAGGATTTTTCAGTAATATTCTGCGATCACTGCCAAAACAATATCTCATCAGACTTAAACTGACTTGATTTCAGGCTATTGTTGTAGATGGAGGTGGTTTTGACTCTGGATGTATTTGGAACATGGATAGTTTTTTTTTTACTTTAATCTCGTGGCAGATTTATCTTTTGTATAAATACAAGTTTTGTGTTTGGTTTTCAGCGCGACAGCTTCGCCCTGTACGCTCTTTACAGTAAGAACAAACCTGTGTCCGACCGGCTGCTCATCTCACACGGGAAAACATTCTTCAAGGTGAGAAAATATGAAACTTCCGCACTGTGGGCTGAACAAAAAAGCTCTTCTTCTTCATCTTATATTTCTCTGAAGCTTATGTTTAAAATTACTTACCATGCTCCAGGTTTCAAACCTGCCGTCACAAACATTAACAGAAGTGAAGCATTGTTGCTAACGCTGGTTCTCTTGGTCTTGCTGAGTAGGGACATTGTGGTTCTACTTCCGCAGGAAGTAGCGCGTATGACGGACTAGGGCGGGATATAACACGAGTGTGTTGCGCAAAAGTGAGTATGTATAGAAGTCCAAAATGACAAGGAACACACAAATTCCACAGAATCCAATCGTTGTGAAACCTGTTGGTTCCCTTCCTCTCCAGTTACCATTTACAGTGCCTTGCGAAAGTATTCGGCCTCCTTGAACCTTTCAACATTTCGCCACATTTCAGGCTTCAAACATAAAGATATAAAATTTTAATTTTTTGTCATGAATCAACAACAAGTGGGACACAATCGTGAAGTGGAACGAAATTTATTGGATAATTTAAACTTTTTTAACAAATAAAAAACTGAAAAGTGGGGCGTGCAATATTATTCGGCCCCTTTACTTTCAGTGCAGCAAACTCACTCCAGAAGTTCAGTGAGGATCTTTGAATGATCCAATGTTGTCCTAAATGACTGATGATGATAAATAGAATGCACCTGTGTGTAATCAAGTCTCCGTATAAATGCACCTGCTCTTTGATAGTCTCAGGGTTCTGTTTAAAGCGCAGAGAGAACCATGAAGACAAAGGAACACACCAGGCAGGTCCGAGATACTGTTGTGGAGAAGTTTAAAGCCGGATTTGGATACTAAAAGATTTCCCAAGCTTTAAACATCTCAAGGAGCACTGTGCAAGCAATTATATTGAAATGGAAGGAGTATCAGACCACTGAAAATCTACCAAGACCCGGCCGTCCCTCCAAACTTTCATCTCAAACAAGGAGAAGACTGATCAGAGATGCAACCAAGAGGCCCATGATCGCTCTGGATGAACTGCAGATAACTACAGCTGAGGTGGGAGAGTCTGTCCATAGGACAACAATCAGTCGTGCACTGCACAAATGCACAGTTTATTATTATAAATATACGCTTGAAGCAGACTGATTCTATTTAGTTACCTGATATTTCCAGCAGTCTCCCATCCGTTTTGTGATTTTCTCAGTTAGAGAATCAGTTAGATAAAAGTCTTTACAACTGTCTACTTTTATGGTGCCAGGCCAGAAGTTTGGTAGAAAACCTGAATGTAATTTTCCACTTCTCTTACGAAATGGAAGGGCTTGGTCATCTGGACCTGGTCTTACCATAGACAGATGGACAATGCGAAGCCGCAATCTGAATAAAGCTCAATAAGTGCTCATGGACAAAGTTTGCTCCAACTCGCTCTGGCTTTCACTGAAATGGAAACTCCTCTAGCTCAGTAACCGTTTAGCGCTCTCTGTGATCCTTATTTTTAATCTTTGTAAATCCAGATATGAGCCATAATGATTGATCAATTAGATGCCTTTATTTGCAAGAATAACTGCAGCTTGCCTTAGAAACCATCTTAGCAACATTTCACTCTGTAACGGCACAAAGCCAACCCAGCCCATATAAGGAAAATATGTTCAAACCGACACTCACCAGTTTTGTTTCTTTGTTCTACTTATTTTTTGTGGTTTTTTACCTGCAGCAGAAGCAGTACAGCCTGCGCGACCGCATGGATCTGTGGTCGTACCTTCTGAAGCCGGTGCAGAGGATCAGTAAGTACAGCCTGCTGCTCCAGGACGTGCTGCGGGAGTGCGACCAGCAGGGGGCGAAGGAGGAGGTGCGACAGGCTCTGGACGTGGTGCAGCTGCAGCTCAGACACGGGAACAACCTGCTCGCCATGGACGCCATTCAGCACTGCGACGTAAGAACCACTTTACATGGCAGGACGGAGATACCACAGTCCCGTTTAAATCTACTGAGAAAGAGCTAGGGATGCATTATTAATCACGATCAAATAAAAAATAGCAAAGACTGTAAAAGTGGTCTGAGCCTGTGTGTATACTGAGACAAGAGTGGTCTCCATTTGAAGGTAAAGGTAATGGTGCACTTTATTTATCCCCGTAGCCATTCATCCTCTGCATTTGACCCATCCTGATGCCACTAGGGCATCTATCAGGAGCTGTGGTCGCCGTAGTAACAGCGCCCCGGAACCCATCTCCAAATGTTGATGCTCGGCTTGATCAGGATTACCGGAGCTGGAGGATTTACCAATGTATACTGAGACTAGAGTGGTCTAAGGTGTATAGGAATAAAGATTTGCAGCAGAATTCTTGTCAGGAAACTATACCAGTATAGGGATGTAAAAAACTATGAATTTTCATGACCGACCACCGAGCCTCATTAACCGGTTGAAACCGGTTAACCGCGTAGTTTAAAATAGTTCACGTTCTTTGAAATAACAGCCATTTCGAGCCGCGTACTTTTCATAAGTGCAGCTCTGCGTTCTACTGGATCAGAGCTCCGGCACCTTTGCGCACAGAGAACTGCTTTTTTAATCTTCCCATTCTGCTGTGCTGCGGGTTAATACCAAAACTTTCTAGCAGCAAACGACGGCTCGTTCACATGGTCAGAGCAGCGAGTGACGAGCCGCGTCTCACAGGTCTCCGCTAAAGTTTAAATACAAGTGATGTGTGTGGAGCTGATCCCGAGGACCATAAACACAAACATGTCCCATGTGGTTTGACTGGAGCCGCGTATTTGCGCAAATCCTTTGGGCTTCGTGACACAGAGGAGCGCGACAGACCGGTATGTGTGTGTGTATGTATGTGTGTGTGTATGTATGTGTGTGTGTATGTATATGTGTGTGTGTGTATGTGTGTGTGTGTGTGTAAATGTAAGCTCCAATGTAGTTCTGACCCGCGCCAGTGTGCAACTTTGACGGTAACAGAGGGGAGAGATGATGCGTGTGGATGTTACGTATGGAGAGGGGGAAAGTGTGTGTGTGTGTGTGTATGTGCGCGTGTGCGTGTGTGTGTGTGCGCGCGTGTGTGCATATGTGGCTCGTGCGGCGTGAGAGTCGTCCCGGAGTTTATAATACATGGGCGCACACAGCTAGATACAGACCCGCTCGTCACACCGTGCAAATAGGGCTTAAAATAGCGTTATTAAGAGACCTCCCCTCTCCCCGTTTTCTTATTTTTAACCGACAGCTTTGACCGGTTAACGCTGTGACGGTCAACCACCGGTTAAACGGTCGCCGATTTACATCCCTATACCAGTACATCACAAGTGTTTGAATAATTAGACAGAAATGCATTTAAACCAGTAAAATATGATCACATAAGCAAATAAATAGTTTCTGGTCACAAATACCAAAAGTTGCTGCCACGCTAAGGTTCTTTTGAAATTGTGTTGATAGTTCTGAATGACAGCTGGAACAAACTACACATGAAGCAAAAATGTGCAAACACATCACTTAAACTCAAAGCTGTCAAAAGGGACGCTGTCTTTCTTTTGACACATTTTATGGCGTAACCTTTTCTCTGATGAATGGATGATTTCTCTGCAGTGATTGATATTCAGGTTTTTTTCTTCAGTCTGGCCTAATCTAAACATGTACAAACTGAAAATTAAACATATTTGCCCTTACATGCATTTCCTAGGACTTTTAGGGCTGAAATCAGGTCAATACTCATTTATGAATATCGGTATTTTGTTTCCATCTGACCCGCTAATAAGACGTGAAGAAGATGACAATGTGACAATGAAAAGCTACACACTCTATTAGGCTCTTAGACTTCTTATTATTTTATTTTGTGTCTGTGAATTTTGTTTTTTTATAAAATAAGAAAAGAGCCTAAAACAGCTATTTTTCACCTAACAAACTGGAAACCTAAATGAGATCCTCAATCTGCTCTCTGATTGGATTATCTGAATAAAAATTGTAAACAGAAATATTAAAGATTTTAGGTTCATCATATTTGAATTAGTGCTAGCATTTGACTGATGAGCGCCTGGCCGGTGCACGTCTGTGCGTGTCTGTTGCACAGCGCGTTCTTGAAAGATAATTATGGGTGCAGGGTCTCATCTCCAATAAGAGTAGTTTGTCTGTTATGATGTGTTGTTGCTTTAGTACAACTTGCCTCGCCTTTTTCTCTGCATGTACAAACCCAGACCAAAGCATCGAACTCTCTGGAACTCCCTCCCCCTCCATCTCAGAAACTCGGACTCTCTAAACTCCTTCAAAAAACAGCTCAAAACTCACCTTTTCCTCCGAGCATTTGACTCTTAGTTTAAACTTTCTACCCTTCTTCCTCACTCTTAGATTTTTAGTTTGTGTGTCTGTCTAAACGTGTGTGCTTGTGTCATGAATTTGTGAAGCGTCTTTGAGTTCTTGAAAAGCGCTATATAAAACTGATGTATTTCTATTATTATTATTATTTATTAGTAATGTTTTTTAACTTTGTGACTTTGCTAAGTAATTTGCATCTGTCTCAAACATCAATGAATCACTCTAAATGCAATTTCAGGAGAAATCAGATTACTCATATTGGATGTGCCGTGATGTTTCAATAGTGTTGTAAAATGTTAGCAATCTTTTTACTTGGAAAATTTCATTTGGCATTACTAGGAAATTATTGGAATTGACAGAAATAAGTAAGAATAAAAGAATAATTATAGCTTCTAAGTAAAGTTCCTGGCTCTAAAACACTTTGGTTCTATCACTAGTTTTCTCATGTATTTTTGGACTCTTGTCATAATCTGTCACAGAAACCAGCCTCTGTCCCTCAAATAAAAGTGTCAAATAGTGACTAGCAGGGCTCTTTGTTCACAGCATTTTAATTGCAGTTTGTGATCATGTGTTTTGTTTTTTGCAGGTGAACTTGAAGGAGCAGGGGGCGCTGATCCGACAGGACGAGTTCTTGGTCACGTTCAGAAAGAAGAAGTGTTTCCGTCACGTGTTCCTCTTCCAGGAGCTGATTCTGTTCAGCAAAACCAGAAAGACCGAAGTCGGCAACGAGACCTATCAATACAAACAGTCATTCAAGGTACAACTGAAAATTACTACGACTACTGTAACTACTACTACTACTACTGCTGCTGCTGCTACTGTGAGGAGCTGCGTGTGCTCTTCAAAATCATCATATAAAAACATTAGCAAACCAGTATTGTTAAACTGACCCTATTATATTGTTACTGTTACACTAATTTAAAGTGTTTGGTTTATTTGTGCCGCTGTGATGAGTTCTCCTCCTGCCTCTTCTGCAGCTGTCCCCACGACTAGGGGTGGCCTATATATTTATATTTACAATATTTATAATAAATCGAGATATAATTTAATTTTGACATATTGTATATTTCAAAATATTTCGCTTTCTCCGGTTTTCTTGTCTGCCTTCTTTGCCCTCGCCTGCTCGCCCCCGCCTCCTTTCTTCTGCTCCCCCTCCCTGTCTCACTTCACACTGTTTACATCTTTGCTTGCAATATAGATGTAAACATCCTCGGAGGAAACAAACGTGTCTAAAAACACGAGTGTAGAATATGACTGAAGCGCAGGTGCTGTAGCATCAGAGTTAGTGGCATTTCATTCAGAGGTGACACGGCACTTGTTGTCGTCATTGAATAACGTGGCTTTTTACCAGAGACTGTAAAAAAGCTGTAACAAAACACAGATACAGATATTGGAGTCGAGGCATTACTTTGCCAAGACGTCATACACGAGTGAAAGTTATCTCGACTAGTGTGCACATGAGGTCAACCCTGACATACTACTACTACTACTACTACTACAGCAACTACTACTACTACTGTAACTACTACTCAGAAGCATCTCTGAGGAGACAGAAACAACTACTATTAGACAACTAAGAGGGTAATACTGTACTGTCACCAGGTGTTGCACAACTTCAATCAAAGTTACTTTTTTCCTGTGAAAGCATTGAGTTCACTCTTCATGCTCTATGAGGTGTGACGTTCTGTAACCTTAGAATCTGAGGTAATTTTGAGAGGATATGGTGTGGAAAAAACAGGTTAAGGCCCATTTTATAAAATATAATCCATCCATCCATCCATTTTCTACCCGTTAATCCATTTCTGGGTCGGGGGGTGCCACCCAGTCACATAGCACCAGCCCCTTTATAAAATCTAAGATTTTGCGTAACACAATAATATTCTATGACTGAAACAAAAAAACAAAAAAAACAATCTGAAGACTATCTTTATACCTTAGACTATGGAAGAAGTGGGCCGAGTGCTGACGTCACCTTTAGTGTTTGTGGAAGAAGCAGATTAGCGCTAACTCAAACAGGTGGTCTGATCATGCTAGTCAAAACCGAATCCAATTTCAGGAACAGAAGACATCTGATTGGTCAGTTGTTAGGGTGACATATCTGGACTTACAAAGACATTATCAAAACATATAAATATCAGGATCATAGAGCATTAAACCATATATTTTGAACCCCAAATTGATGAGTGGGACACAGACGGTTAAAGACTAAGAGGAGTTTCCTTTTCAATTTTTCAATGAATAAGTCCAAAAGTGACCTATAAGGCTTCATATAGCAAGTGCATTAGCATTGTATAAACTAGGACCAGACCAGTCTAATTCTCTTTTGTCGCAGACATGTGACGTTGGCCTGACGCAGAACTCGGGGGACAGCGGCCTGTGTTTTGAGATCTGGTTCAGAAAGAGGAAACTGCAGGACACGTTCACACTGCAGGCGGAGACCAGGGGACTGAAGGAGGACTGGACCAGAGACCTGGAGAAGATCCTCTGGGACCAGGCCCTTCACAACAAAGGTATACACACATCAAGGCTTGGTTAAGACCTACTTTAGACGTGCTTTAGTCCTGGGCTATACATGGTTTAGACATGGCTTGGACCTGGGTTAGACCTGGTTTAGACCTGAGCTATACCTGGTTTAGACTTGTTTTAGACCTGGTTTACTGTAGACCTGGTAGAGACCTGTTTGGACCTGGTTTAGATCTGTTCTAGACCTGGTTTAGACCTAGTTTAGACCTGGTTTAGTTCTGATTTAGTCCTGAGCTGTACCTGGTTTAGACCTGGTAGAGACCTGTTTGGACCTGGTTTAGATCTGTTCTAGACCTGGTTTAGACCTAGTTTAGACCTGGTTTAGTTCTGATTTAGTCCTGAGCTGTACCTGGTTTGGACCTGGTTTAACAGCATCCATCTTGAAAAGGCAACATTGTTAATTTGGTTAAAGCAGATTAGAAAACTATATTCAGATTCAGAAAACTTTATTGATTCCAAAGGACAATTCATTTGCAGCATAATCTCAGAGCAGAACACACACACAGTCTACACAGACACACAATGAGTCAGGCCTCGCAGCTCTAACTAAACAGCTGTAAGAGTCATTGGTGATTTCAGACCACAGACTCCACTGTGCTTAGACCCTCCTCATTTTTTCATGATGGGTTCAAAAACAATTATGCCAAAACCTCCAATATTACACTAATTCATGTGTTTGTTTGCAGAGGTGCGGATGCGGGAGAGAGTTTTTCTGGGACTGGGAAACAAACCGTTTAAAGACATCCAGCCGAGCGACGCAGCCATCAACTCCAGAGCCGTCAACTGTGGACCCCTCGGGAAAGGTCACTACTCAGCACACTTGGAATTCTGCAATAATAATCAACATTTTAGCTGCTATTACACTGGAAACGTTCAAATACAGTAGCAATAATACATACGTTTTAGTGAAAATGGTCACGCTCGGGTAAAGTTGTGTCTCTTTTGCCACAGCTGCTCTTTATAATCTATAATCTCTTATGTCTTATTTGTTTGAAAAGGTTGGTATATCTGTGGAAGGATATTTCTCCATCTAATTGAAGGAACTGGATTTTTAAGAAGCAAAAAAACGTTTTTAAATGAATAGAGCCGTCATAGTGTACTGAGGTTGAAATTGGCGCATTTAGACAGAAGGGATGGACGGACTCACTTTGTGCCAGAAGTTTCTGATATAAACAACTCCAGATCATAGACTTTATATGGATCAGAGGTTCCGCTAGACTTTTTTTTTGGCGGTCACTTTGGCCGACAAGGTCTGAAAATATCGGCCATTTGGGTAAGCAACCGGACATAATTTAATTAGCCTGTATAAGGCTATTGTATGGCCAGATTATACCACATGAAACATGCGGTGCCTGTCTGCCCTGTATATTATACCTTGCTATTTTGAGGCAACCCTTGTTTTAAAGTTCCGCCAGAAAAAAAGCATACAAATGCCGATAGATAAGAGAGCTGCGGCGCAATAAGACCAGATCCGAAAATTAGTGTTTCCTAAAGTGCTGGACTGGGATGAAAGATTCTTAATGCTTACAATATTCTCCCATTGGTGTTTAGTTTGCTCTTTGTGAATGGTTGTGCGCAAGAATGGCACGTTGCCATTGAGCACACGTTGCGCGTGATAGGTGCATGTGCACAACCAGTTGCTCACTTTACAGCCACGTAAATGCTTCTCTGCTGCAGAAAAGCAGATACATGTCATCTAAAGCTCGTAGCGCTGCCCTGCATGCCACAAATACGATAATGAGGGGCACACATTGCGTCCTTTTACGCACATGAAAACTGTAGACGGCCCATGTAGTAGTCACTTGTAGATTGAGTAGTAGATGTTTTCTTGAAGAAATGAGCGAGAGACGATTGCTTCGACATTGTTAGCGTAGGTTTCAAATCTCGCGCCGCGAACCAGAGGGCGTTAACGACGTCATGGGGTGTGCTAATCCTAGGCATTCACGACCACCTTTTAAACCACAAGCCTTTAAAACGACCACATTTATTGATTTGTTGTCTGATTTAAGTGATTTATTTTTATGCATAGTGATAATAATGATAATTATAATTTTTATTGTAACTTAATTTTTTTTTTTCAATCAGCCAACGTGGCCGACGGCACTTTTTTTTCTCGGCCAAAGACATATTTTACCGGCCAAAAGCCGGCTACAGCCGGCTAACGGGAACCCTGATATGGATAGACAATGCTAACCCACAATGCTAACCCAATGAAGACCTAAAGGGAAGTGCTCATTGACAAAGTTTTGCTCCCCTCCCCTTCTGGCTCCTATTGACTGACATTGAAAAGTAAACTCCTCCAGCTCAGTAAGCGTTGGTGTCACACACACCATTTTGGGCTTAAAAATCCTCTCTCTATGATCCTGATCTTGTATAATTTGATAATGTAAATATAGGTAGGACCCATAAAGTGTGACCAATCTGATGCCTTCATTTGCCGGATACACTCCAGCTTGCCTTAGCGACTATCTTAGTTGAGATAGTTTGCATTTTCCCCTATAGGTCACGCCGTTGTAACAAATGCCCTTTTAAGGAAATTGGCTCCAGCTAGCTTATGTTGAAATTGGCGTCTTCCGCAACAATTTCACTCTAAAAAGATCATTTTGTACAGTATGTATAAACATTAATAGAAATTAGCAATATTTGTTAACCTTGATGAACCCAAAGTTACTTTTTTAGTAGTTGGCGAGATAACACTTTTTTATTTTTTACATTTTAAATTTAGTGTTCATTCCAGTCACATACAACATACAATGTTTTTTTTTCCTTTTTCCAACAATATCAACATGAACAAAAGGAACAAGGAACATACAGTATACCCTTATATTGTTTTGTATTTAGCCAACTTCAGCTCCGTCAAATGTTCATGTCACACCTAATTTTAAAGCTTCAGTCAAATCAGTTTTACGATCCGGGTTGTTGGCCCCTGGAGAAGTTTGGTGAACTAAAGTTTTTCTCCCTTATATGGAATCTAACCATAACGTGTGTTTCTCCTCCAGACTCCAGAGCTGCCTCCCTCTGCTCTTTTAGCTCGGCAGGGTCACGTGACGCACTTCCTGTGATGCGGCAGAAGTCGATTGGCTCGTGCAGCAGTAGCTCCTCCTCCTCCTCGTCAGGGCGGGGCTCTCTGTCTCCGCGGCTCTACGTGAGCGCTCCACAAGGGGGCGCTGTGAGGGATGAGCTAGAGCAGGACGGACAATACCTGCTTTGTGAGTCAGAGATTTAAAATATGTGTATATGTATTTTCTGAATTCATTTCAAAGCTGTGCGCATACATTTAATAATAAACGAATGCATAATAAACACGATACAAGATAAACTGAAATACGCTCACGAAACACAAGTACTTTCTGTATTTATTTTAGACCTTACACATGAAGATTGATGAACCTTCACTTTGGTATTACATCGTCAATATCTTGAAATTTCTATTGGCCGTGAACTAATGCAGTCCCTTTAATGCATGTTTGGACATGTTACTGTTAGCATACTGTATTGAATTAATCACTAGAAGGATTTAGACACAATTGAACTGCTTAAAAGCACGGAAATGATCTCAGCAGCTCTGAGAGTTTCCAAAGACTAAGAATACAATTTAAGCAAATAAAGGACTGTTTGCCTGATCAGTCAGAGCCTTGTGACGCTTTCAAAGTCTGCCATTCAAAGTAACTTTTCCTCTGCACTCAATCTCAGTAACAGTAATTGTAAAAAATAATTTCTATCATTTGTGCTGTACAAGTTAAAGTTTTGAGAATGTTACTTTGAGCATTTGTATTTTGACATAGCCTCAACTGCAGCAGAATATTTTCTTTCATTTCTGCAGCGTACTTAAATGCACCATGTTTCCTGCATTTGTCCCACATTACAAAAACAGAATGATTAAACTCACAGACTCTTGTCTCAGTATACATGCAGACCACTCTGTCTCAGTATACATGCAGGCCTCTGTTGTCTCAGTATACTTGAGTACAGATTTTTCTTTCCAAAAGCCATATTTTGTTCTGCCGCAAATACTAAGAAATCCACTTACAGTAAATTTCAAAGTGAACGGTCAGGAGTTTATTTTAACTTCTTTCTTTTTAAATGTTCTTTCATCCTAGAGACTGTATGAATAATAAAAACCAGAACTGCGATGCGAGGTGATAGATACTTGAGTCTGAAGTGTGTGCAGCTGTGGTCCGTCTGGGGGAAGGCCTTTGTAACAGGTCACAGAGGGAAAGGAGAAGGTCTTTAAACACAAGTCACTGCTTCACAAACTTTGGCCGTGTCCCCATTCAGTCCCATGTGAACCGGAGACCATTTGTGGTTACATTTAAGCAGATTTGAAACAGCTAGACAAGTGCACACTGGTCCAGTAGTCACATAAGCCAAATCAAGTATTGACCGAAGACTAGCAAGAAGTGTGGAGTTTGCATGCTCTCTTCGTGTCTGTGTAGGTTTCCTCCAGGTGCTCTGGTTTCCCCTACCGCTAAAACATGTACAATGGGTCGGTCTTGCGCTTCCAGTCTGGTGACTCCACCTCCATCACTGTGTGGAGTGAGAGGACAAATAAATGCCCACAACAATTGTAAATCGTTTTGTGACTGTCTGTGTAGGCTCTCTACAGATAAATATTACTGACTTTTGTACCAAATCTGTGACTTTATGAAGAATGACTGAGATGTTGTTGTCTGTTTGCAGTGGAGAGCTCGTGGTGCGAGGAGAGCACTGAAGGAGACGACACCTCCTCCCTCTGCTCCTCTGTGAGCACTGTCAAACACCCACAGGTGAAATGACTTCTTCTACTACTGCTTCTAGTACTGCTGCTATTACTGCTGCTACTATCACTATTACTGCTACTGCCACAGCGACTGCTACTTCTACTACTGCTACTAGCAGTACCTACGACGACTGCTACAGCTACTCTAACTGCAACTACTGCTACTATTAGAACGTCGGCTACTACTCATAAGTTCTGGCTTGGGCTACACAATAAATATGTCAATCCTGCCTTTATTTTTACTCTGAAATATACAGAATATTAAGAATCATAGGATGATTTTTCCTGTCTCTGGCTCTTACTCACTTTCATTCAAACTCCTCTCCAGTCAGTTCAAAGTGTTTGGGTTTTTCAGCTCGTGGTCAGAGTCTCACTCAAATGTGCAGCAGAAGAAAATCTGCCCCTTCTTCACATCAAAGATCATTAATGTCAGCATGCTGCCACTAGGCGACCATGGCATGTTATAAAAGATTAACTAGAACACACAGACACATCATCCTTTTATACTTTGAATGCTAAACACAATATATAATATAGTATATAGCAAAACATCTTGGGTCAAATATTGGTTCAATCCGATGTAGTTTTGTTGTTTATAAGTAATGTCACAGAATGTAAAGAAGACGAGCCTCAGAGGAGCTATAAAAAAGCTCGTAGATCCTTATCCTTCAAACAAACAACGACAGCTCACATTTGCTTTTTCCAGTGAAGTTATGATTGGGTGGGTGATGTCACACTCAGCTCCTCCACTCCCTGTTACACAGTCTACGGTCTGTACGCTTACACAATCATGCAGCTTGTAGTAGTCAAATGTTACTGCAGGGGTTGAGTTGGACCATTATATTTTGTATAATAATAATAATGATAATAATAATAATGATAATGATAATGATAATAATAATAAAAACATTGTTGTTGTCTCCACAGGCTGAGTCCGAGGGTAAATCTACAGAAGTCTGATGGATCTGTCCTTGTTTTATGGGTGAGAGCCTCAAACTTTGTCACCACTGTTTTTATTCCTTCTATAGAATGAATAATGTTATTGTTTTATATCAGTTTGTTTATGTAGTAAGCTCTAATATTTGGCATCTTGTGTTTTAAAACAGGGTTAGAAATACTTTGACAAATAACAGAAAACTAAATTATAAAAAACCCTGTGATACCCTCATGTTCTCCTAAGGGTCCATGTACCTCCAGTTGGGAAACACTGTTCTAATCTGTGCACAAATAAACAATTCTGGAGTCAACTGCTTCTGTTGCTGTTATTTTAGGCAATCCAAAAATAAATATATTTGAAAACAACGTTAGGCCTGTTTTTGACAAAGAACAAAACCTCTCCACCAAATCATCCCCGCCATGTCCCTCCCCATCTGTCCAATGCTCCTTTTTCAAACTCACAGTCAAATCAGAGTCTATACAACTGCACTTAGACCAAACCTAACCGTTCCAAACCGGTCTGTTGATTATCTAAATGAATCAACCGTCAATACTCAAAGATGGCTTCCGTAAGTAATGAATGTTAATAGTAATAAATTGCTCTAAATGTGCACACAAAAACTAAATATGCTCATGTTTGTTTAATAAATACATTTTAACACTTGGGTCCAGCCCTCCACAACAGGGTGATATACCCATGTGTCCCCTCGATGATAATTGCCCACCCCTGACTTAGACCATATACTGTTAGATTTATAACTAAATCTAGCAGCCCATAACATCCCACTTCTACTGCCACTCATTCTAGTCTCAATTACTATTTATACATTTCCAACTTTTCACATTCTAAAACTCAAAATGCCAAATACTCTCATGATATTGAACCCTGCATCTCTTATTGCGGTGCCAATAATATACTTTGTGATAATCTTTTTGCTATCGTTCAAATAATCATGTGATAAAGTTGTGAGTAATCTTGTTCTATTCTTGTGCAGATCTGAGCGCGGAGAGAAGCCCAGCTACTACTGCAACCAAACCACTCCACTTAACCTGCCTTACACACCGACAATGTATCTTTATAATGTCATGTGATTGTGCTTTTAATCTGCGCGTCGACCACTAAAGATGAATAACTATTTCACACTTTTTGACATAACGTTGTGTTGATTTGTACGCCCAGATATCATGTTTGTATGTTGCTAATTTTGTACAGGTTTAATAAAAGCTATTTGAAAATGATCTGGTTTGTTATTTTTGGTTGGATCTAAGTCTCACCTATCGAGCCATACAATGAACTACGACTGTTTTAAGCCTGGCCTTGAATGTAAAGACTGAGTCCGCTTCCTTGACGTAGGTGTGGAGCTGTTTCCATAGTTACGCTCTATCTCCGACTGCCCTTTGTGACACTTTAGGAACCACCAGAAGTCTAGCGTTTTGCCATACCATTTATAGGACGTAAAATAGGATTCTAAACTCTCCTTGAAGACAGTGGAGGGATTTTAACACAGGAGTTATGTGTTCCCTCCTTTAAGTGCCTTGAGGTGACAAATACATAGAGCAGTTCTTCTGCTCCACGCATTTGTTGCGGAATACAGTTGCAAAGACGTCAAAGGAATCTCAAAATGTCATCAATTCTCTCATAATAGTGAGAATTTGCCACATGTGTGACTGCGTCGCAATTCAGGTCTCAAAAGTGTCTTCTGACATTTCAGACACATTTGGACTCCCATCTAGAACTCAGAATCTGAACAGATGGTATAAAAATGTCCCTTGAACATACTGTTGCACCTCACTGATTAATAGGCCTGTGGTTCAAAGCTGAGGACATGTTCTTCCTGCACTGCAAAAAATTTCCTTGTAGAAAAACGGTAAATAGCTGGCAAATACCGTTTTCTCAACATGGCATTACCGTTGCTAATTTTAACGGTTAAAGACTGTCTTTGTGATTTCACGATTTAACTGGGTGTTCCTGTTAATTCACATACAACAAAAACAGCATTACTGTATAATGTCTTGTATTTTTACACCATGTGACTGTTTTTGTATTCTAATTAGTTTCATTGAACATAAAACTACACAGTATAATTTTGCTTTCCTTTAATGATCACAACTTTATCAATTATTTTTTAACATCTTTAGTTCATAAGAAAATAGTCGAAGTCTTCAATTTTTCAACATGTTTAATGCAAAAGTATAAATACAATTAAAGCAGGAGTTTCAATGTGTAAGAGGTACCTTTTACACTCATGGTTGCTTGCTAGCAAAAATTTCCCAGCATTCCAAAAATACAACAAGTTTATGTTAAATTACGGTAATACCATTAATATTTTATGGTATTGTAACGTTTTTTTGTAATCACATTATGTTTGTGGTAATAAGACGCCACTGAATGTTTTTTAACCAATTTTTACCTAAATTTGAATTTTTTTTCAAAACAACGTTTGTTTAATGTTTAAATTTCATTGTAATTTTACAGAAATGTGTTACAGTGTGGGAGATTTATGACTTAAATACTATTTGTAGATTTTTGTAATATTTTTTCCACATTAATTCTAATACCTTTTAAAAGTTCTATGTAACTTACGTTCACAGCCTCTGCTTCATTCTTCCCCATCTGCGTCTCCTCTGGGTTCACTGACTTTACATCTGGACCTTCGGGGGGAAAGAAATGTCATCTTGTGTCTCTTTATTAATCTCTTATCAGACGCAGCCCCTTTGCCGGGAAGTTTGGTAAAAGTTACGTCAATATTGTTTCACTTTAATTAATCATTCTAGATAAAGCTAAAATTACACAAATTCTCATTTTCTCTTTGAGGTGGTCCCTTTAGTGATGCAGATGTTAGAACTGAGACTTTTACATCATTCATTCATATTTGATTTATTGTTCCTAATTCTGAATATTTTCATGTTTCTCCATGAATTGTCCAAAACGTCACCAAAAATAGAAAACAATAAAATATACACATAATGTTTGTTCGCAAAAAAAAGGTAAGTGCATTAGAATTGTTTTTGAAAGGCTTACAATTTGCCCTTTATCATGAGTTTTGAAAAGCCAGATCTATTTTGTATTTGTTACTAATTATTTATGACGAATACAGTTTCTCTCAAAACTGTTTTTATTAGAAATCTGTTTTTGCAAATCAACTCTCCATATACTATACTTTTCACCCCTTAATACTTCCCCCAGCTTGTTCGTAAATCACTCCAATGGCACGTACTTATTGCCAAACAAAACTACAGCGTGAACTTTTTTCATTTGAAAGGAAAGTGAACTTACATTTGGGTCAACATAAGATAAAGCAGAAATGAAATTAATGTTAGAATAGATAAATACTTGTTCCTTATTATTATTATTATTTATTTATTTTCTTATGGTCTGTGTACGTGTGTGTGGGTGGGGGTGTGATTGGTGATGATGTCACGATAAAGAAGAAAGTTGTGGACCCGCCCCCTTCTGAGGAGAGCGCGTGGGGCGGGGGCCTTCGGAACCTTCAAAAGCAGCAGAGCCTCGGTCACTCTGCACACGGCTCCCACAGCACCTAGAGGACCTTCACATCACCCACAGGACCCAGAGAACCATCACACCACCCACAGACACAGACATGGCTCAAGGTAAGAAACAACTTTACTTTGTTTTTAATTCAGGTGACTGTGAGTTTTACGGTTTATAGCAGAAAACAGGCGCAGAAGCCAAAGTTGTACCGTTTAAAGCTGGGATACCTAACTTTGTTTTCCCCTAAATAATACAGGTACTGAAAGAATAACATTTTGAGAACTTATTAGACCACTATAAGCTGACTATCTTAGTAGAAAACACGTTATATTTTGCATACAATATTTTAGGGTTGTCCTTTTCTTTTTGTCTGAAAAAGCTGAGCTAAAGATGTGACAGAGGTCAAAAATACAGGTATGAGATCTAGCCTTTTCTGTGTATCTGATGCTAACTCTGGCAAGGATAATGATGTACTAAAAAACTGGAATAAAAATGAAACAAAAACTATTAGAATCAAACTGTATTTAGAGCAACAATCTTTCTTCGGGTTGAAAGTTAAGTACCGCAGCTTTAAGTTTGTTTTATCAAGTAGTAATGGAGCAACCAGCATTCGGTGTTAAAGTACAGTAACATTTTAACACAAAACAAAAACTCCCACAAATCTCATTCAAGAACATTGTGTGTTCTACAAAGTCTGTGCTTGCATCTCCACAAACCTGTACTTGACCTCCTCCTGCTTGTTTCCATGGATACATACTTTTTTTTGCTATAATCATTATGTAAAAGTAATTTGAAGTAGTTTTGAAGCTCACAATGTCTGCTTTCACGTCTGCGGACCCTCTCCAAAGAGAATACAGTGTTGCTTAAAGATGGAACCTTTAACAAGTTGACTTAATAATTATCTCATGCATCTCCTCTGCCTTGGAGGTAAAGTTATCAACGGTGTTCATCTGTTTGTTTGTCTTGGAGCGATGTAACTCTAAAAGTGATGGGAGGATTTGGAATACAGAAAACTAACAGTGGCCCAGTGAAAAACTGAATAAATGTTGTGATGATGATGATTCACTGGAAATAGAACTGCTTTTCTGTCCTGTGAACAGTCCTGCCCAGTGTAGTGGGAAAGGTTGGCGTGTTGTTTGGACGCCTGTTGGTTTTTCACCACAGGGAAAAACTTGTCAAAACAAAAGGGTCAAAACGAACTTCTGACTTTCAAAGTAAGTCTTCTAAAGTCACAGCGCAGAGCAGCCAGACCCAGAGGGAATCACATTATAATGGTTTATCCTCCACATCCAAGCAATATACACATATTCAAACATATTTTTTTATATAGTAAAGAGCAGCGCGTGCAAAACCCCAAACTCGTTGCTCGTATGACTTGTGTGGAAAGCAGTTCGTTTTTATTGCTTTCTATATTACAGCTATGTTTACTCAGAATGTTCACCGGAAAAAGACTAGCTCGCAAGGTGGGTTAAAAGTCTTTTTGACACACAGCTCTTGTATTTTTGTGCCGTGGAAACGAGGTCTACGTTTTTATCTGGGCCTTTTAAACTTTAATACAAATGAGAGCACTACTACTGTTCTTTTTCGCTTTCAGAAATCCAAGTTTAGTGGTGTAATGAAAATCCTACCTCTCTCTGCTCATCTGCACAATCTGCCTTCTCTTAAATCTCACTGAGAAAAACAAAGGGCAGAGGACGTACTTTCCCAAAGGAGACGGCAGTAGTATTATGAGAAGTATTTTAGTGCCACTGTTGTAGTAACATCTCATTACTGTGTTATGGGGTGAACAGCTGATCTGAAGGCCACTGTGAACAAGTCCCCAAAATACTGCGGTATTTCAAGTACTGCAGTCCCCAGGGTACGGCAATATGAATGTTTGAAGTACGTGGAGAAGGTCTGTGAGTAGGAGGTGAAAACAACGACATGTCACTTCATACACTACTATAAAACCTTTGTACTCTTTGTATTTCTTATGGTAAGTTATATTTGATTAGTACATTCTGGAAGTTAATACAATAATTGCAGAACGTTTTCACTAAATTCATCTTAAAATATAGTAAAGAATATCTATATATGAAGGAATACATATTGCTATTGTCAACGTAGGTCAATTAGTATTAAAAATGAACTACTTATTTTGTCCATTATATTTAAAGATGATGTACCAAACTTTTATTGATTCACAAAAACAGCCTTTCAGAGTTACTATTAGACGCTTCACTTATAAATGATGTGAATACTACATGTGTGATAAAACCGAACCATTTTGAGAGCTAAGAACTTTATAACAGAGTTCCATTGTTGTGGGTGTGGTTGAAAAGTGATGTACTCTCTTCTTGCGGCTTTTTGTACTTATACTGTGTGATAGAATGCCCTTCTATTGGAGGTCTCAGATGGGCTGGACTTTCTCTGCTGCAGGCTGGGAGCAGCTGGAGACCAAAATGACTTCCTCTTGTTGTTTTTTATGAGCCCACAAACTACATTACCGCAAATACTTTTAAAATACTTCAACAAATACTTCCACCACAAGCGGAACGGATAAGGACATGCTGAAAATAATTGTAGGAAAAGAAGAGCAACTGTGGCCTGCTTTTGTTTGGGTCAGTAGTAATAGCAGCAGTAGTAGTGTAGTAGCAGCAGTGGTAATTGTAGTAGTAGTGGTTGTGGTATTGGTTGTACAGTAATAGTAGCAGAAGTAGTAGTAGTAGTAGTATTAGTCGTTTATCAGCAAAGAAATGGGTTTGAATCCTGGTCAAAACAGGGACTTTTTGAGTGGAGTTTGCATCCCGGCATCTGCGTAGGTTTCCTCCGGGTGCTCCGATTTCCCCTACCACTAAAAACCTGAACAATTGATAATATCCTCCAACCAGGGAGACGGGCCCCTGGGTGGAGGATATTACGGCCAGAACTACTAACCAGAACTACCCCTGCTCCTGACAGACGCTCTATAGTGGCATTACAGGATGGGTCAAATGCAGAGGACAAATCTCCCGGGGACCAAAAAATAGCTATTAACTCAACACCCAGGATATAAGCGATGCCCCACTCCCCATGCCCATGTGAACTAACACTTTCTTAACTCATTTGAGCCATCAATTTATCTCACATTTATCTTTTGGACAGTTTTCTCTTGTGCTGGATAAACACCCCTGCTTCTTCATGTTCCACCACAAAAATATGTGCACCTTTTTGATAGTTTTGTTGATCCATTTACTTAAAGCATTTTTGAAACATTTTCCAAAGCTCTTACTTTGAGAAATTCCAGTGTAATTCCTTTAAAAACAGCCGTAGTGAGAGCGCTGGTCCGATGGGAGTAAACTAATGTATTTTCTCATTCAGACGGTATTCAACTCCCAGCTCCACCAACTTTTCATTCCCCATTTTGGACTTGACTCAGCCCAGTCACAGCACTTTGAAATGCATTTGCAAACATTCCCATAAGCAATTTTGTTTTGCTATTTGTTTATTTTGCATTTTCAAAAGATTCTGTTCACAGTGAATTACAGGAGAGAAAAAAACATTAAGAGAAGTATGAAGTCTAAATCTAAAGACCTCTCTTGTTTCCGTGTACATGCAGACCTCTCTGTCTCAGTATACATGCAGACCTCTCTGTCTCAGTATACATGCAGTATACATGCAGTATACATGCAGTATACATGCAGTATACATGCAGGCACAGACCTCTCTTGTCTCAGTATTGACCCCTTGCATGTGACGTCCCGGCCACGCCCACTCTCCATGACAGACGGCAGAAGTCTAACTGGAGCCTACGGACACCTGACCAAAACAACCTGTTTCAGCGCATTACAGCCAAAACTGTGACATTTTGCAGTGCGGTTGATTATACTAACAGGCAAGGACATAAGCTTTTTTATCTGATACCTGCTCGTCATGAAGACAGAAGACGACGATTGCCAGCGGCAATCAACCAAAAGGACTGGGACCCATCCAAGTTCTCCCTAATATGCAGTGAACACTTTTTACAAGATAAAGCAATCACAAGTTTGTATTTATTTTATTTCCATTAATTTGGAGCACAATGACACACGTCAAACGTGTCTCTTACTACTGTCCTGTATGTGCGCTGCAACATTGACATTTTTATCTTTTAAGTCAATTGCGTGTTTCACTATTTTCCTCTCCGTCAGTACGTATCATGTTTGGCTGTAGACAGAAAAGCCACAGAAGAGTGGACTATTGCTAATGCTACCAGCAAAATGTACATATAAATCTGCTCCAGTGCACGTGGATGCATTGTTAATAATGATAAAGGTCATGTAGGGTGAATTCGGGCAAAAATAGACATTTTATTTAATCGATAAAATTGACTGGGGGGAGAAGGTACGGGTCAACATCCAGTTAGGCGATCCTTAACTTCTTCAAATACCACTCTTTGTGAGCCCTGACCTGATGTCCTACTTCCACCTATAACGTAATCGAACATTGCTTGAAGCAGCCACTTCTCGATTTAGGAGAGGAAGCTCCGTTTTTAAGAGTTATAGTCCGTTTTGCTCTCGCAGCAATGCTAGTTTCCAATACTTCCCCCGTAAGCTCATTCACAATCACGTGACTGGATGACGTTGATGCATCTGGTCAATACATGCAGACCTCTCTAGTCTCAGTATACATGCAGACCTCTCTTGTCTCAGTATACATGCAGACCTCTCTTGTCTCAGTATACATGCAGACCTCTCTTGTCTCAGTATACACACCGTTTCACAGACTTTTCCCTGTGCACTTCAAAGCTGAAGTACCTAACTTTAACAACACATCAATAATAGTATAATAAAAACCATGTTGCTTCTTGTGTCTGAAGTGAAACAGAGAGGACCAACCTCACTCAGCTCAAAGCGTCAAACAGTACCTCATAGGACTCATAGGATTTCTTACAAGTATGCAAAAACTGTTATTTATGAACAAAAAGTAAGGTATCCCAGCTTCAATTGACTTTGGTCTATGTAAACACTCTTATGGTTCGTATTCACAAACGTTGGCTTTTTCAAGTGCGTCCCTAAAGTAAAACATATTATTTAGACAGACTATAAAATTCTATTAAATACAATGATCTCACTTTGTGCCGCTTTCAAAATGTTGCTACACAAAAACAGTTTAATGGCTG